CTTAAAGCTACAGCGCTCAGTTTGCTCCAACGTAAAGCTTCTATTTTCATTAGGCAAGTTATCTGCGCAGAAGCATTCTGATGATGTCGGAGTCAGTGGGTGGAGCCTCCCTCCACTTTTACTACTGGTTCTATAGAACCGGTCTGAACCGGGGGCAACCCACCACTGGTGTACATGCACATGCGTGAGTGCCCATGACATTTACAGTGTCGCTTGCATGAGTGGGGACACGAGGGTGCACATGGAAGTGCATGCACCAGGCGGCCACTCACAGGGTCCAGTGGTGATTAGCATATGGCCCACAGGTTGGGGTCCCCTGTCTTAAAGTACAAACGATATATAAAAGCTTGAGGTTTTAGAATTTGGGACTTTCACATAAAATGAGCTCAGCTCAGCAATGAAAATCTCCCTGTTGTGGATTGATTTGATGGTGGGTGGGTGGGCGAATGGGTGGATGGATTGGTTGGAGAGAGAGAGAGAGAGAGAGAGAGAGAGAGGAATTATATATTATACTATCACGTGAAGTGTTAATGCCACTTTATAATGCCTTGGTAAAGCCACACTTGGAATACTGCAGCCAGTTTTGGTCGCCACAATGTAAAAAAGAGGAGACTCTAGAAAGAGTGCAGAGAAGAACAACAAAGATGATTAGGGGACTGGAAGCTAAAACATATGAAGAACAGTTGCAGGAACTGCGTATGTCTAGTTTAATGAAAAGAAGGACTAGGAGAGACATGATAGCAGTCTTCCAATATCTGAGGGGCTGCCACAAAGAAGAGGGAGTCAAGCTATTCTCCAAAGCACCCGAAGGCAGGACAAGAAGCAATGGGTGGAAACTAATCAAGGAGAGAAGCAATTTAGGACTAAGGAGAAATTTCCTGAAGGTTAGAACAATTAATCAGTGGAACAACTTGCCTCCAGAAGTTGTGAGTGCTCCAACACTGGAAGTTTTTAAGAAGAGATTGGATAACCATTTGTCTGAAGTGGCTTAGGGTTTCCTGCCTAAGCAGGGGGTTGGACTAGATGACCTCCAAGGTCCCTTCCAACTCTGTTATTCTATTCTAAGAAATATATAGTCTCTACTTCCCAGAGATACAATTACGGAAAGCTCTCCAAAACATCTTTTAGTCTTTTTTTGCAAGTGACTTCTTGAATGATTGCATTACATTGCATTATTTTTCTCTTGGGACATATATGGAGACCTCCAGGAATGGAATTTCCATAATAACACTGAGATAAGTTGAGAGATGTTGTACAAACACACAAGATTTCCACAAGATTTTGCTTAGGAGGCAGTGGATCAGTGGTGGGTTGCCCCCAGTTCATACCGGTTCGCAAGAACTGGTAGTAAAACTGGCAGGAGGCTCCGCCCACCGCCCCGGATGTCATCATAGACGATCTGCGCATGCACAGAAGCTTGGCACGCACACAAGCGAAGCGAGCATGCACGTGTGATCCCATCGCGAACCAGTAGTAAAGGTAAGTAGAGCCCACCCCTGCAGTGAATATGCTGAGTTTATCCATTGCTTCTTCAATCTCAGCTGGTTCTCCTTGGCTGTTCCTGAGCAGTTCAAAACGGGGCAGTAAATACCCACACACCCTCTTCTTTTAGGAAAGCTGGAGTCCCAAAGGATTTAGAAATAAGAATCTTTGTACATGTTTTTAATGCAAGGACCATCTCTTCCTTCATTCCACGGCTGACCGCAAGAAGAAGAACTTATCATACCTCTTTAGAAGTATCTTTGGAACTCCAGGACAGAGATAAGATTCCGAGGCAAAATTCTTTGCATCTAAACAATCTTTCTTTCAAAGAGATCCAAAGCCTGGGTTTTATGGCACAGTGAAGTTCTAAGTCACGCTTTCTTCCTACCAAAGCACTTCGTAATCTTATCTGCATGTAAATAATCTGGCTGTGGGAATCAAAGGCCAACATTGCTCGGCCAAAACAAGCAATGCCCCAATTTTTCCCTCCCCCCCCCCGAATATTTGACATTTTCACTTAGAGAAGACCCTTGCATCCACCGTGATCGATGGTGATTCTGTGGGCCCTTCCATGCAATTTTCCCAAAACTACTATGAAAGTAGGTGCCTTCTTCCCGTTGGTTTCAATTTCATCATCTAGTTCACAACCATGACGGGCGGCATTGACTGAAGGCTAATAATAAGTAAACAAAAATTAAAAATAAAGCCATGGTAGGCTTCCAGCCAAGCAGAAGCAGACCAGGTGAAAATAAAATAAAATAAAATAAAATAAAATAAAATAAAATAAAATAAAATAAAATAAAATAAAATAATAAAATAAAATAAAATAAAATAAAATAAAATAAAATAAAATGCATGCTGATGTACTAAAGTCTAACTTAGGTATTAGAGCTGATATGTTCGGTATGTTTGTTTGTTTATTTATTTATTTATTTATTTATTTATTTATTTATTTATTGTCCAATTTATATGCCACCCTTCTCCGTAGACTCAGGGCGGCTTACAATGCATTATAGCAATAGCCTGCATACTTTTTTGTATATACCTGCTTATTAGGGCTTTCGCCCCCCCCCCAGCGGTATTGTTCTATACAAAGCTGGCTTATTGCCCCCACAATCCGGGTCCTCAATTTACCTACCTCGAAAGGATGGAAGGCTGAGTCAACCTTGAGCCTGGTGAGATTCGAACTTGCACTAATTGTAGGCAGCTGGCAGCTAGCACTTAACAGCAGTTTAGTCCGCTGCACCACCGAGGCTCTTTTATTGTTACCTTTTATTGTTAGGCTTGTAGATTTTTACCTATTAATAGCTTTGAACAATAAACAAACAAACACACATGCTATAAATAGATTAAACCAAGTAGGTGCAAGGCACTTTTATGTAGCTCCTTCGGTGTGCATTTTTACATCTCTTGAGACGTACAACACAAGTCATGGCTCTTTACAGGAGGACAATATTGTTGTCAATTCCATATCACCGAAAGATTGGGAGAAAGTGGCTTGCTTAACATTTCCTGGCAAGTTCCTGGTAAAGGCAAGAGGTAGCAGAAACTTCCTGATTTGTAACTCATTACATTATACCATAGCAAGAAGGGAAGGACATAAAAGAAACATTTTCCAGCCAGCAAAGGCAAAAAGAGACGGACAGGATTATCTTCTACCTGTGCTGTGATAGTCTAAGCCGGTGGGCACTTCCTGGATTGCCGTCTCATCCCAAAGGGAATAGATCGCCCTCTGCTGGTAGCAATTGGACTGGAACCCGCAGCTCATCCAGGGGTCTTCGTAGGAACTGACATCTCCAGGTCTCTGTGCAAAAAGCAAAACACGGAGTTAAGAAGTAGAAGTCCACTTTGGGAGAGGAAGGATTGTTTAATTTGCCGACAGCAGGGACGGCTGCAGTTACGACTTCTGTTCATTTATAAAACACGTATTCTTTATTATGACTAATTACGGGGTGTATTTTCTGAATATCTCCAAATCAACGCTATCGTGATGGGTGAAGGAAGGAAAACCGCACCCTTTCCAACTTCTGTCCAAGATTAATTGCATCGCCCGGCACAACATTAGGATCACAAAAAGCTGAATGAGTCCTAAAATGAGCCGTGGTGGCACAGTGGTTAGAGTGCAGTACTGGAGGCTACTTCTGCCGACTGCCGGCTGCCTGCAATTTGGCAGTTCAAATCTCACCAGGCTCAAGGTTGACTCAGCCTTCCATTCTTCCGAGGTGGGTAAAATGAGGACCCAAATTGTTGGGGGCAATATGCTGACTTTGTAAACTGCTGTAAAGCACTGTGAAGTAGTATATAAGTGCTATTGCTAAGTGCTAAAATACACTATCTGTACCAGGGATGAAATTCAGCAGGTTCTGACAGGTTCTGGAGAACTGGTAGCGGAAATTTTGAGTAGTTCGGAGAACCGGCAAATACCACCTCTGACTGGCCTCAGAGTGGGGTGGGAGTGGAGATTTTGCAGTACCCTTCCCCTGCCACGCCCACCAAGCCACACCCACCAAGCCACACCACGCCCACCAAGCCACGCCCACATAATCGGTAGTAAAAAAAATTGAATTCCACCACTGATCTTCAAATAACATTTGAGTCTGGATATTTATTTATTTATTTATTTATTGGTTCAATTTATATGCCGCCCTTCTCCGGAGACTCGGGGCTGCTTACAGTGCGTTAAGCAATAGCCTTCATACTTTTGTATATACCTGCTTAGTAGGGCTTTCGTCCCCCCCCCCAAGCGGTGTTCTTTTTTATACAAAGTCAGCTTATTGCCCCCACAATCCGGGTCCTCATTTTACCTACCTCGAAAGGATGGAAGGCTGAGTCAACCTTCAGCCTGGTGAGATTTGAACTTGCAGTAATTGCACGCAGCTGGTGCTATTTAACAGCACTTTAGTCTGCTGCGCCACCAAGGTATATACTAAATTAAAAAACCCAAGCATCTGTATCTGTTTTATTGAAATTCCTCTGAAGTATGGCAAAGAGTTTTGCCTTTCTTACCTTAGGGACCAGAGACTTATATGGGCTGTTTATTTTAAAAAGTCTCAGTGTTGAATTCCTACAGGAATCCTTGAAGTTTGGGAATAAAAAATGAACTTTAAGGCACAAAAAAATAGTGGTTGGAAGTGAACTGAGGGCCGAGTATCAGCTACTTTCATCCTATAATAGTTTTGGTCAATCATGTGTGAGATCAACCAACCGGAATTGACAAAGCAGATAGACTGGAAGGGCTTTGATGTGAGACTTCCTATTCCCGCACGTAGAACAATCTCAGTGTAATTGAGGACTGAGTGGTACAATAGCTACAGTCACTCACTTCAGGTCTCCGGAGAGACCTGGTCACTTTAAAATACATCTACCGAACAAAGACATTTGTTAATTTCAAGCTATGAAATGCAAACACGAATGAGTAATTGTGACTGGGCACTTGGTCACAATATGGCACAGAACAGTGTCTCCTCTAAGTGTTGGTCTCCTTTGAACAACTCTGAGTAAAAATTAGAAGGTCTAATAAAGGAGAATATTAAAATTAGAAGGTCTGATGAACTCTGACGCAAACGCATTTAATACAATCTTCTCCTCATTGTATCAGCCTGTCCACCCAATCAGACAGGTAGGGAATAACACAATGTCAGAGTTAGAAGGGACCTTGGAGGTCTTCTAGCTGAAGGTTGACTCAGCCTTCCATCCTTTCGAGGTAGGTAAAATGTGGACCCGGATTGTGGGGCAAGAAGCTGACTTTGTATAAAAAAGAACACCGCTTGTGGGGGGGGGGCAAAAGTCCTACTAAGCAGGTATATACAAAAAGTACTGAAAGTAACAAACCTAGTGGAGATGGCAAAAATTTCGGTGTACTTGAAGGAACATTCAAATGAAAGATATTTAAGGGACTGGAGAAGATGGATAGATTATATTCAAAGTAAATACTGGAATAAGAAGTTGCAGAAAGGTTATGAATAAATATGTAAATATTTGGCGTGTTTTTAGGTAATTAAATTAGCAGGGTCATTAGGGAATTGAAGGAATAAGAGATGCTGAATGTTATAATTATTTAGATTAGGATGGATTATGATTGTTGAATGATATACCCTGTAATTTGTTCTGGGAAGAGGGGGGGAGGTGGGCAGATGGGAAGGGGAAGGGGTGGGGGGGGGGTGGTGGGGGTAAGGGAGAGGAGGGGGGAGGGGTGGTAGGGAAGGGGGGGCAATATGTGTTGCTGTATGTAAACTTTTGTAAAATTTTTAATAAAAAAAAAAAGTATGAAGGCTATTGCTTAACGCATTGTAAGCCGCCCTGAGTCTCTGGAGAAGGGCGGCATATAAATCGAACCAATAAATAAATAAATAAATAAATAAATAAATAAATAAATAAATAAATAAATAAATAAATAAATAAATAAAAATAATAAATAAATAAATAAATAGTCCAGGGGTCTCCAACCTTGGCAACTTTATGACTTGTGGACTTCAACTCCCAGAATTCCTCAGCCAGCGCATGCTTTATGACTTGAAGTCCACAAGTCTTGAAGTTGCCAAGGTTGGAGACCCCTGATCTAGTCCAACCCACTGCTCCATTCAGGATACCCTACACCACTTCAGACCAATGGTTGTCCAATCTCTTCTTAAAAACTTCCAGCGTTGGAGCACTTATAACTTCTGGAGGCAAGTTGTTCCACTGATTAATTCTCTACTTATTAGTTTAAATGTCCATATTTTCCATGTGCAAGTCGCCCTCATTCCTGACAGTTTTGCGTTTTCCCTAAAATGCACATTTTTTTTCTGCATGCAGGTAGTCCTCAAGTCACAACTTCACATTCAGTGACCATTCAAAGTTACAAACAGCAACTTAGGGCCATTTTTCACAACTACAATTGTGGCAGCAGCCCTGGGCTCACATGATAAAAATTAGGATGCTTGACAAATGGTTCCTATTTATGACAGTTGCAGTGTCCTAGGGCAAGGGTGGGCAATTGTGGCTCTTTTACAACCTGTGGATTTCACCTCCTAGCTTGGCTGTCTCAGGAATTCTGGGAGTTGAAGTCTACAGGTTATAAAAGAGCCACAATTGCCCACCCCTGTCCTAGGGTCATGTGATCACCCTTTGCCACCTTCTGATGGGCAAGACAGATTCTCTTCACAACCGTGTTACTCACTTAAGAATTGCAGTGATTTTGACTTAACAACTGTGCCAAGAAAGGTCATAAAATGGGACAAAACACACTTAAACAGTGTTTTGCTTAGCAACAGAAATGTTGGGTTCAATTGTGGTCATTTTATGATTTATGATGAATGAATTTTATGATCATGATCATGATTTATCACTTATAGCTTGTATGTACAGTGACACCTTATGCAATGGAGACAAATTCCTCATGTGTCTAATCATACTTGGTCAATAAAGAATTCAATTCTATTCCTATTCCTCCTATTATTCTATTCTCTACTTTATTCTCTACTCTATTCTCTACTCTACTCTCTACTCTTTCCTTTCCTTTCCTGTTCCTATTATTCTCTTCTATTCTCTTCACCTCTCTCTACTCTACTCTACTCTACTCTTACTCTACTCTACTCTACTCTACTCTACTCTACTCTACTCTTTTCTTTCCTATTCCTATTCTCATTCCTCCTATTATTCTATTCTATTCTCTACTCTATTCTCTACTCTACGCTTTCCTTTCCTATGCCTATTCCTCCTATTATTCTATTCTCTACTCTATTCTCTACTCTACTCTCTACTCTCCTATTCCTATTCCTCCTATTATTCTATTCTCTACTCTATTCTCTATTCTACTATACTCTTTCCTTTCCTATTCCTATTCTTTTGTCAAGGACTCCTGTATTTCTCTTTTTCATTTTAGAATGAAGATAGACAGACAGACAGAGACAGACAGACTTTTCATGATGGGTGACTGAAAATCAAGCAATTTCTCTCAGTGATGGCCCAAGAAAGATGCTGCAAAGGAATGCATGGTTCAGAATGCCAAAAGTTATTATTTCAACTCTGGATAATGATTATAAAAGTATGTCCATGCAGGCTTATCTTCCTTTGATTTCAGAAGTTATTAAGATCAAACCCAGTAGCTACAAGCTATGAACTTCTATCTTCTCTGGATAAATTACCATAATTCCCAGGGTAAAGGAATGCTGACCATCTATAGCTCTCTGGGTCTTCAGAACCTCTAAGCAAAAAATTGCCAGACCTTTTATTAAGCTTAGCTATAATTAACCCATATTGAAATGAAAACTCCTTCTATCCAACAGATTATTACATCCAGTTAGCCCGATGCAAGTACAACCGTAGAAGTGAAACCTGTATGTAAATTATTATGATCCAATCCATGCAATTTCATACAGGGACAATGCAAGAAGAATGTCATAGTTTGTATCTTTGGAAAGGTGAAGAATCAGAACAGGGGTGAAATCCAGTAGGTTCTGACAGGTTCTGGAGAACCAGTAGCGGAAATTTTGAGCAGTTCGGAGAACCAGCAAATACCTCCTCTGGCTGGCCCCAGAGTGGGGAGGGAATGGAGATTTTGCAATATTCTTCCCCAGGAGTGGGATGGGAATGGAGATTTTGCAGTATCCTTTCCCTGCCATGCCCACCAAGCCATGCCCACCAAGCCACACCACACCACGCCCACCAAACCACGCCCACAGAACCGGTAGTAAAATAAATTTGGATTCCACCACTGATCAGGAGGCTTCAGAGGCCACCAATAGGTCCCATAAAAACATGGATGTCTCAGAAGGGTTGCCTGAGACAGCAAGGTCAAAATTTCCCCTGTCCAGTTGTATTTGACTCTAGGGTGCTCATCTCTGTTTCTTCGCTGAGAGAACCAGTGTTGTCTGAAGACACATCATGGTCATGCAGCCAGCATGACTCCATGCAGAGGTCCATGGAATGCTGTTACTTTCCCACCCAAGTGGTACCCTATTTATCTATTTGCATTTGCATGCTTTCGAATGGCTAGGTGAGCAGGAGCTCGGACAAGCAACAGGAGTTTGCTCTGTCACACTTGGGTCTCGAACTTCCAACCTTCCAGGCAACAAGACCAGCATCTTAACCTCTAGGCCACCTCACCCTATGTCTGAGGCTGCATCTTTGTGACAATCTGGGCGGTGTATAGGATTGCACCTGCCATTTTGATTTCAAGCAGCCCAAATTTGACATTTATTAAAGGAAACAGTAGAACTTTAAGATGTTTTGGGGCAGTGGAACCATCAGGGAAGGATTTTTAAAGCAGAAACCTTGAAGCCAACAGAAGAAGCAGGAAATCCCACAAATGAAGCAGAAACTTTTAATAATGTCCATTTTTTTTCTTTTAAAAAAAAAACATCCATTCCCTGCTCTGTCAGAAATGCACCATTACTTTAGTCTAAAATTATTTAGCCTAAAATGCACCATTAAATAGTCTAAAATTACTCTGGGGTGAGGGGTGACCCCCTCAAGATACTAAGAAATTACATTAACAGCTTTAATAAGACAACCCCTCCCCCCCCACACAACTGATTGGGGAATTCTGGGAATTGAAGTCCACATATTTTAACATTGCCAAGATTGAGAAAAACTGCATCAGAGGGCAGTGGTGGGTTGCCCGCGGTTCGGACTGGTTCGCAAGAACCAGTAGTAAAACCGGCTGGAGGCTCCGTCCACCGCCCCGGATGTCATCATCGGCGATCTGCAAATGTGCAATCCCGTTGCGAACCGGTAGTAAAGTTAAGTAGAACCCACCCCTGTCAGAGGGGCATCTCTGAAGATTTGGTTCACACAACCGTCATTTCAGAGAAGATGGTGTGTCTCATTTGAACACGTCGGCTGTCTTATGGTATTGTGAGTTTGAATGTGATATTATTTAATAAGGAATCCTTGGGTCTGCAAAAACCTGATTCAGGATTGCAACCATTTCAAAGACTGACTGGGCACAGACATACTCTGTTTCCCCAAAAATAAGGCATCCCCTGATAATAAGCCCAATTGGGCTTTTGAGCGCATGCGCTAAAATAAGCCTCCCCCTGAAAATAAGCCCTCCCCAAAAATATTTAAACACAGAGCTGGAAATCAGGTAAGACGGCAAGAGGAGCCCCATCTTGCTCCATGGGCCCCAAAATAATAAGACCTCCCCAAAAATAAGGCCAAGTGCTTATTTTGGGGTTCAAAAAAAATATAAGACAGGGTCTTATTTTTGGGAAAACACAGTAATCCTAAACTGAAATTTCTTTGGTTTATTCAATGAGGCACCATTGATTCGATTTACTTTGTTCTGAATTCTCCTTGCTTTACAAGGTGGCAATGGCTGTGTTTTTATCCTAAACTAAATGAAATTAAGCAACAGGATGTCTCAGTGAGATGCATGAATCATAGTCAATAATAAATTAACTTCCTATGAAACGCCCCATGCCAATGTCTATGGAGATTCTCAGACTACATTCTGGACAGAGAGGACTGCTGATTTGAAAGAGGGGTCAAAGAGGCCATCTGTCAGCACTTCAACCTGCATTTACTCTAGTGCTGACATAAGAAGGAGAAGAGGGGGCAGCTGGCAAGAGGAGGCTTGACTTCTCACCTACTTATTTTCCCTGAAGATAATATCCCCTAGGAGATGAGATGGGAGGGGGGACATTCTGGGAGCTGAAGTAGTAGATATGGGGAGAGTGATTTGGGAAGAAGCCAATGAGACGCAGAGAATTGGGGAACGGAAAGGGAAGGTTTGGGGTCAGGAAGTCAGTATTGGCTACGCCACAATCGGGGACAGGTTGTCGTGCTTAATAAAATGAAAGATTTCTTCAAAGACTATTTGTTTGGAAATGCAATTTATTTTATTTGAGACGACATCGAAACCTGACACCATCTATATCAGGGGTCTCCAACCTTGGCAACTTTAAGCCTGGCAGACTTCAATTCCCAGAAAGCTGGCTGTGGAATTCTGGGAGTTGAAGTCCGCCAGGCTTAAAGTTGCCAAGGTTGGAGACTCCTGATCTATATTAAAACTGAATAGCACTCTTTCAACAGAGGGAGACCATTATGACACCACCTATCTCCTGTTTAAAACACAAGCAGTTCCAAGAAGTTTCCACACTCACTTGCACTATTCAGGTGAGCCTGAGGGCATCGATAAATCTCCAAGCGGCCTCAACAACTCTCAGAGAGAGTGCTAACAACCAGATGACTGCAAGGAATATAACATCTCCCCACCCTTTCCATTCTCTATCATTCTGTCAGAACTGAAGAAGCTTCTTGGATGAGAAGCGAAATCTTCTTGTTTTCTTTTTTTTAAAATTTATTTTATTTTAATACAAACAATCCATCTTCCATTAAACAGTGTGTCGTCTGGGTACAAATGCCGTGTGCAATAACAATTAAAATTTACAGCCATATTCATTGTTTATCTAAACTTACGGTAATATTGATATACCTTGCATGTCTAATAATGTAACCATTCTCTTCTTAACTTATTTCTATATTCCACTAATCTACTTTTATTTCTAACTTTCATATTTATTCTCTAGCCATCGGTAAAATAGTTCCCATACATTATAATATTCAGTTTGTTCCCTCTCTTTACTTGCAAGTGTTAACCTATTCATTTCTGCACAATTCTAATATTTTCCTAATCACATTCTCATCTGTAGGAATCTCTTCACTTTTCCAGTTATGTGCAAATACAATCCTAGCTGCAGTTATTACATGGATAATCAAATATATATTCTCTTTACTATAAGTTTCTGGTAAAATCCCCCACAGAAATATTTCAGGTTTCAGATCAAGGTGTTGTTCTAGCATCTTCTCCAACCACGTATGTATTTTTGTCCAGTGAAGGACATCTTCAAGGACATCCAAAGCCCAGTTGCCTTTTGAAAAAGCACCTTTGGGGAGTCCGATGCCAATGGCTGCTACCTTCTCTGACAGCAGCCCGAACAGACCCTGCTTTACTAAGAAATCCTCCCCAAATTAAGTGTGTTCAGAGGAAATGCAATGCCAGCAGAGATGTTTCTTTTGTGACAAAGGTTCATTGCTTAGACAGAAGGGAACATATCTCACTGGCAGCGTATCTGCTGAGCCTGCTAATACTTTGGGATAACAGGAAGGGGAACTTCCTTCCCTTCCCCTCTGCTTTCTGACGGCCTGGCTCCATTTATGCACTTGCTCCTCCCAGGCACAACTGTTTCCTTCTTGCCACTGCTCCATAGCTGGCCAACCTCCTATTCTCAAACTCGTTTGAGCAAGCTCCTGATGGCTGTATTTTCATATATATAATTTTACTAAACGCATCAAAATATAAAACAGAAGGGAAAATAAAGATACTGGGAAAGCAGGAAAGGTGAAAAGAGAAGTTTAGGGTAATGGGAAAAAAAAAGGGGGGGAACATTAGCTTCCAGCTCTTTTCAATGCAATAAAATAAAGACGATAACATTGCAGCCTCAACTTTTTGCATTAAAAAAGGTAAAAGTTTCCCTGTCGGTCATGTACAGCTCTAGGGGGCACTGCTCATCTGTTTCTTGGGGGAGGGAGCCAGCATTTTCAAAGACACTTCTGTGATCATGTGACCAGCATGGCTTTACATCAAAACAGTGGTGGGTTGCTCCTGGTTCGCCCCGGTTCGGGAGAAACGGTAGTGGTGGCAGCGGGAGGCTCCGCCCACCCACCCAGACATCAAAAAATGTTCTGCGCATACGCAAAAGCACTACATACTCACAAAGTGAATGCACATGCCTGCGTGCTACTGATAGCGAACTGGTAGCGCCGGGATTTGAAACCCACTACGGCACCAAAGGCATACGGAATGCTGTTACCTTCACACCAAAATGGTACCTATTGATATATTCGCATTTGCATGCTTTTGAACTACTAGATGGGCAGGAGCTTGAACAAGTAACAGGAGCTCACCCCAATGCACAGAGTTCGGGTCTCAAACCCAGGCTTTTCAGCTCTCCAGCTGACAAACTCAGTATCTTTAACCTCTGAGCCATTGCATTCTCACCTTATTTTGCATACTTAGTGTATATTAGCTATTTCTAACAATTTCCTTACCATCATCAGA